CTCGAAGATCCTCCAGGATTCTCGAAGATCCTCGAAGGTCTCAGCTTGTGTCGGGCAGGAATGAATTGAGATCCTTAAGGATCCTCAAGGATCCTCGAAGATCTCAGTTTGTGTGGGGCAGGAATTGAGATCCTTAAGGATGCTCCAACTTACACTACTCCACCCACTTAAATTGAGATCTTCGGGGATCCTTAAGGATCTCAATTTTTCAGCATCTCACATTGAGATCTTTGAAAATCCATAAGGATCTTTAAGTACTGTTTCAATTACCGTTATCTTGGGGTATTTTGAAGCGGCGCAAATGTAAAAAGATAGAAAATCATATTCTAATAAGTTTTGGAATATGATTCATTCATTTTCAGCGGTTTTTGAGATTGAAATCTCAATTATATTGAATTGAGATCTTTAGAGATCTTTAAAGACCTTTTTCAAATACCCTTATCTTGGGGTATTTTGAAGCAGCGCAAATGTAAAAAGATAAAAAATCATATTCTAATAAGTTTTGGAATATGATTCATTCATTTTCAGCGGTTTCTGAGATTGTAATCTCAATTATGTTGAATTGAGATCTTTAAAGATCTTTAAATATCTTTTTTTTTGAAATGCTGTTGTTTTAAGGAGTTTTTTTGACATGAATGAAAAGTACAATGATGGAAAATCCCTGTATGAGGCATGTTGGAATGATTTTTTTTTATTATTGCGGTGAGAAGTAAAAGTGAAATGTGGTGCTCGTGGATACTAATTGTTTTGATGATTATGAAGTACAATATGACTACTAAACCGATGAATGAATTGTAGTGTGCTGTTAGGATCTTGGAAATAGAAAGCAGTTAATGGAAATCTGTAGAATACGAAACATTAGTTGCAAAATGTTGGAAAGTGTTATTAGGGCCAATGAAAGAATAGCTGTGAAATAGTTCCGACTTTTCTTGAATTATTTTGTGATTTCAAGAGATTTAAATTTTTACCTGTGGCGTACCTGAGCAGGTGTGCAGAGCACCTGTAGTTTTTTTTGCAGTCACTCACACTGTAATTATGGAGATTGATATTTTGTGGTCGCTGTTGGTCTGTTGTTCGAATTTTAATAACTTTTAATCGGTTTTAAATCCATGTTACTGCCACCTGAATCAATGTTAGAATGAACTGTGTTGGGTTTGGCGCGCATTTATATAGGGTGAGGCCCGTCAAATTTGCAGCCGGAAGACTCGAAGATGATTTTGAGACTTTAAGGATCTTTGTGTATCTGAAGACTTTCCAAGGGGGAAAAAGTGGATCCTGGATCATCGGATCCTGTGGATCCTACTGGATTCTGGTGGATCCTGGCGGATCCTATTGGATCCTGGTGGATCCTGATGGATCCTAATGGATCCTAGTGGATCATAGTGAAACCTGACGGAACCTGATGAATTATAGAATAAAATATTTCAAGCGTACAGAAACGAGGATGGAAAAGTTGATCATAATGGATATGAGAATTCTTTAAGATCCGAATAAATTAAGTGAGAAAAGGGAATAGTGACTTCAGAATTTGTAACTAAGTAAAGAGAAAAAAAGATCCAGGATACCGAGATGATTATGTCTTGGTAAATTGTTGCATCTCATCATGGATTCTGCGCATTTTTTGGATCCATCAAGATTCACGCTTTCTCGATCGGTTTGATATTATTGTAATACATGATCATTTCTATTGCATTCTAGTTATTTCTGNGATATAATCGACTATGGCACTAATGAATCAAGCAATAAAATAAACCCTGATAAAGGATCAAACTTAAAAAAGTAATCTGCTTTAAAACAAATTAAGTTTGAATATTTTTATTGTAAATAAATAATCCCATTGTTTTAAGTATTTTCAATTGAACAGTATGAAATAATAAAATTGAACTAACTTCGCTTTGTTCAGAATTAAATCTTTTTCTTTCAATCTAAAATCAGTTAGAGTAAATGAAAAGAAAATTGCATTGCAATATGATAGTAAATGTAATTATTGTATAAGAATCAACTTTATTAAGTATTATTTTAAAATAAAGAAACTAGTTAAAATAAACCACTTTATTCGCATTTCATAAATAAACAATTTATAAAACGAATTCAATGTATGTTTCCTTTAGGTACAACAAAGATAATCAAATGTAAATGAACTTTAGTTTTCATCGAAATACACTGAAGAGTTCTAACCTGTAAATTATTTATTTCATTCGACTTTAAAATAAAGTAAAATAACTTGATTAACGCCAGTTATTTAGGTTATGCAAAATTTAACTAAAATTAGGTTATGTATGATTATCTTTGCTTCATTTTATTTAGAAATGAATCAATTGAATGAATGTTTTAAGAATAAGATACAATGAATAACATTACTAAACTACTCTTTTTAATTTTAATTATAAAATAATAAATCTAGTATATTGATTCTGTTTCACGTATAATGTATAGCATAGTTGGGTAAAAGATGAACTGATTTGAGTTGAATTTAGAACAAACTCAATATTGCAACTCAAGAATGTTTTAAACTTCACTTAAAAGAAAATAAAACAAGAACGTTTGAACTCCGTCTAGGATGATATAACTATATATAAAGTCGAAAATTGTAATTTTTCCTACAAGTCAGTTCGCTAAACCTATATTAGATCGAAAAGAAGAATGTCAAAAGCTAAGTTGAGGATACTAATGAAAACGTAGTTTTGAGGGTAACAAAATCGAAGATTTTCACTTTGATAATCTGTTTTTTTACGTTCAACCGAATTCTAGTTTAATCATGAATTGTACTATAGTAATCATTATTAGTGAAAGAAAATCGAATAAACATTATCAATTCTATTAGATTTTAAAATGTATACATAGCTTTGCTATATCACATTTATTTCATTCTCATTTTTAATGCAAAACTCATCTTTTTGAACAGTTAAATTCTTCCTAAAAAGACTTATCACAAAAAATTAATTTTTTTTTGGAAGAAAAGGAAAAATTAAATCAGTTTAAGATGATTGACTTCTTCATATGCATTATAATCAATAGCGGAATTCAGAACGATATCATATGCATAAAAAANTGATTAAACCAGAATTCGGTTGAACGTAAAAAAAGAAATCAAAATAAAACCGACTATATTTCAAGATACTTGAAAAGAGAGTAACTATGATTTTTGATCTGGTTATGTGAAGCTTAAAAAGAATAATTTTTCGAGAAAAATGTGAGGTACATGCATACTTAATTAAAAGATATTATAAAATCAGTCTAATGACTTTCCTTGTCATTATTTAGTCTTATGCAACCATAACTTAATTATCAACGTTCTAGTTGAAGATTTGGTCATAGTACATGTGACTTATGCTTAGACATTCAGCATATGTTTCGGATGTGTACTACATACGGCATAAAAGAACGAACAATTCTATCGCACGCATATACATGCTATACTATCATTTCACATACTAATATTGATTTATCTTACGCATAACTTAGGATCGCTTTCATGGTCTGTCGTACAACCAGACGTGCAGAATCTGCCGGTAAAATGAAAAATTTCCCCAGCTATGAAAGTCAGTTAAATAGGGTGTGGGTGTGGGTCTGGATCTTCTCTGAGTCCAGCAACATCCACGCTCACATGACACACCCACCCACACCCACACCCTCAAATCGTGCCCGAACTATTCTTTTAATATACAGCCGACCACAGAAGAGTTCAAACGATACTCACTGATTGAACAACAAACAAATTTATAAAAATGTGACGCGATTGATCAATTTGTAAATGACAATAATCCATTGCTTTAGATGCGTAATCTAATCATCGTNTTACACCATAAGTACAGTTTTAAATGCTCTTTAAAATGACTATTTACTTGTTGAAATTACTTGAGTGGTTGCAGAGATATATCGATTACAAAAGCTCTGTGAACTTTTTGTCCATACCTTAGCTTTGCTATATCACATTTATTTCATTCTCATTTTTAATGCAAAACTCATCTTTTTCAACAGTTAAATTCTTCATAAAAAGACTTATCACAAAAATTAATTTTTTTTTTGAAAGAAAATGAAAAATTAAATCAGTTTAAGAAGATTGACTTCTTCATATGCATTATAATCAATAGCAGAATTCAGAACGATATCATATGCATAAAAAACAGTTTAAAATAGGATATATGAACTTTAAAAAAGAAATCAAAATAAAACCGACTATATTTCAAGATACTTGAAAAGAGAGCAACTATGATTTTTGATCTGCTTATGTAAAGCTTAAAAAGAATAATTTTTCGAGAAAAATGTGAGGTGCATACTTAATTAAAAGATAGTATAAAATCAGTCTAATGACTTTCCTCATCATTATTTAGTGTTATGCAACCATAACTTAATTATCAATGTTCTAGTTGAAGATTTGTTCATAGTACATGTGACTTATGCTTAGACATTCAGCATATGTTTCGTATGTGTACCACATACGTCATAAAAGAACGAACAATTCTATCGCACGTATATACATGCTATACTGTTATTTCACATACTAATATTGATTTATCTTACGTATAACTTAGCATCACTTTCGTGGTCTGTCGTACAACTTAACCTTAAGTCACTTATGCATAACGATAAACAAACTGTTTATTTTTTCTGTATTCTGTTTTCTGATTGAAGAAATCGATATAATTATTTATCATTCTATTTCGATCACTGCTTCATTTCCCTATTGCTTGTAATCGAAGGTATAAGCGTATCATAGTGCTTTATGATATTTTCTATTTCAAAAGCAGAGAAAATTTTCATTCAATGCTAATGTGAAGTTACTATATTCTATTTTAATGCTTTCTAGATTCTTTATTCTTTATCGTTGTTATTTTTCTTTGATCATGCGTGTTAAAAAACCTTGTCGAAAGAAACTTAGTTTTGATAATGAGAAAGAAAATTCAAATGGCAATAATAGTAATTTTTGCATCTCAGTGTAATATAAATGTAACTGTGGATTGATTCTAGGTGGTAAACAATTAAATTTACAATTTTCGATGGAAAATTCAACAAGTTCACAAATCAACAATAGCTCTGATGATAATTTGATCAATCATAATGAATATTTACCAACAAATGAAGAATTTGAAACACTATTAGCGTCATACTCGGCCGTCAATGAAAACGAAAATATTGATATATTACTTGACGTAAATTCAAGCGTGACAGGTGATCCTTTATATATGTCTCTATTTCGATCATTTAAAAATTATATTTTGCTTCTAGATTTATCGTTATGTGGTAGTCAAGGTCAAAAACGACCTTTTGAAGATAGTCTGAATAAAGTTATACATAATAAACGTTCTGATTCATCCAATGATTCTATTGTTGATGATATTTTGATTTTAAAACAAAAATATATTGAACTTGAATCTAAAATTAAAAAATTAGAAGAACATTGGATGTGTATGTAATTTGTTTTTATTCAAGTTTTTGCATATTTTAGAATGCATACTACTATGTTTAGAAATGAATACTCTCTAAAACATTAATTGATGATCGATTGAGTTTTAGTTTTAAAATAATTTACTGGTGTTAAAAAATCATTGCTTTTTATTTCAATGTTTCTCGACATCCTTTTTCATTATTGTAACAAGAATAAGAAAGCCTTTGCGATAAAAGTAGAACTTTTTGTTTTATAAAAGAATTTTTCATATTGCAAGAGAGCAAAAAAGATTTGCTTTCTAAGAAGCTTGATATTATTTATTTAAATATATAAGCTGTCATTTAATTGTTTTCTTAACTTAGCATCATCAACAAATTCAGCTATGGATCCGAATTTCGTTGAAATATCAAATGTTTCACGTGATGATCAAGAAAATATGAATGTTGATAAAGGGACATCTATGACTGACATATTACTTATACTAAAGATGGATGCAAATAAACTTACGAAATGTAATAAAAAGACAGCAACCGCTACGGCGCGATCTGTAATCAAATCTATGTATCCTAATTGTGATTCCAATTTTCGATATAGTGATGTCGATAAGTCCATTATTGATTGCATCATCGGTAAGTCAAGTGCTTTTTTTCTAATTGAACAATGTTTTTATTCAATAGAATATACAAAGTTTTCTAATCCGAATGATAAAGCTTCTGGTACAGAACGTCGTCGAGCCATTAGCAATTACTTTGGATATTTAACTCATCAAAGAAAACTCAAAGCTATGATGGTTTCGAATCAAATTGTTTTAGAACCAAAGAATGACAATAATAATACCATATCTGCAAGCTGAAAAAGAAAAATTGAATTTTTTTTCTTTAAATCATCTATGAAAAGACATTTTTCTTGGTTTACTTTTATTTAACTTAAGAATTCTTTCGTTTTGATTTTAGAATGATTATCCTAGAATTCTTTCACCTTTTTCAATTGTAACAAAAATGTTTCCGTCGTTTTTTTATTCACATGCATCGCTTTTTCGGTATTTACTAGGTATATCATATTTCAGACTTCGTTTATTTTGTTGTTGAAAAATTGTATCTACATTTAGCTTATCATTATCTCTAGTCTCGTACTTTGTTCTTCTATTTTTTTTTATTTTTATTTTTATTGAAGTGTTAAATACCTTAGATATAAACAAAAAAGATCTAGCTAAACATAATAAAAAATCAGCCACAGCTACGGCAAGATCTTTAATTAGGTTCAAATATCCAAATCCTAATCCAGATATTGGATTTTCACAAGCTGACGAATCTGTAGTCGAAGGTATTATAAGTATGTTCAATTTTTCATATTGTTTTTTGAGTTGAACGACATTTCACTAATTAGATTATACGAAATATTCGCATCCATCTGATATAACATCGAAAGCGGAAATTCGAAGAGCAATGACAAATTATTTCTCGTTAATGCCACATAAAAAAAAGCCAAAACTACAGCTGCTGCTAATGAAGATATTAATAAAAGTATTTTAATGGATTAAAATAAAACAAATTAAAAAAATGTACATACAAAACATTCAGATATATCTTTTCATTTAATATTATATATTCAGCATTATTTTATTTAAAATTCGAATTATCTACATTCTTCGTTTGATTTTATTGATAATTGAAGAACTTTGTTTGTTTTCGTAGTTTTTTGTCTATGTTCACTCTTCTTTATTTACTTAACATTGCCTATACTATTTCACACATGTTACTCGTACTCTATTATTCTTTCAGCTAAATCCAAGATAAACCTACCTTGTATTTTTTATTTTCTTTTATTTTTTTTTATTGGAACTTATGAAAGATCTACTTAAAGATCGACATGAAAGAATAAAATGTGAGTAAACCTAGAATAAAGATTTGATATATTGAATCAAAGTTCTACTGCTAATCTTTGGTTAAAATTTTCATTAGTCTATTTTATGCTCAAGATCATAGCTATTAAAAAAACAACTTTAAGTTGAAAGACTAATGAAGATATAACTGATCATAACAATTGGATTAAAACCAGCAGTTTATCAAGAAAAAAAAATCTACTATGTAGAATAATGAGTTAGTTATAATTACGAATTCCAAAAGAATATAATTTTAGAACAATCAGATGAGTAGCAAGGAATGTCTGTGATTGTTTTGCGAGAAATAACTTGACGTTATCTCATTATTTTATAGACGTTTGAATTTTTCAAAGGTTCATTATGTTTCCTCTTTATATGATAACTAAAATAGAATTTAATATATCAATAAGGAACCTATTTCTCATGTACAATAGCTATAAATATCTTCGTTTATTGCAGAAAATAGAACGAGAAATATACATTCACAACTCCACTGTTATTTTCAAATTAATAGGTGAAATCTAATTGATGAAGATATTTTTTTCTAAACTATAAATATGAATCAGCTTCTTGGATAAAATGCTGTAGTATCCTAATATTTTTATCGTCGTAATGATTGTACAAATTTAGAAACTAATTGTGCAGAGCCGACGTCAGTCTATTTTGATGTAAAAAGAACACGATGATTGGATAATATTTTGTAATTAATTAAAAAGCTAAGTTATTGTGTGAAGTGTCGAACGATGATTTTCTCGTCAAGTTTTAAGTGGTTATTACATTGTATGAACACATATCAGCTATCATATAAACCGAATACCATTGTCATGCACATGTTTGTACTAATTTCACTTGCGCTGGTTTAACAATAAAGTTTTAGTTGTTGGTAGATAAAAGAAACAATACAAAAAGTATAACGACAAAAGAACATAAAGTTAAGAATGAGAACCATTAGAATTTAATTAAGTTCAAGATTACTCCTAATCGATGAATGGAAATATGTAATAAAATAATTTTTCATGAAATAACTTTTTTCTAGGAATAACATTTTGAAAAATAAATTTCAATATTCTCATTCTTAACGTGATCGAAAACAAGAGTAAGAATAGTTTTTTGAAAAATGAACAAACGATATGACAATTGGAAATAGGGGTGAGAAAGTTATTGTTATTGTTATTGTTATTGTTAATAATAACAATAAAATTAGCTTTTTGATTCAAAATAATCAATGAAACAAATCTAAGCATAGTTTGTACGCACGTCAAAAGATCATTTCATTAATACAGTATCTTTTCTTACCATTTGATATAAGAACTTGGGGTAAATATTTTGAAAAATTTTAACATAAGATGTTTTGTTATTGCTATTGCTAAATAACAATAACAATAAAAAAAATATATTATGTTAATATTTCTCAAAATATTTACCACAAGTGCTTATATCAAATGGTAAGAAAAGATACTGTATTAATGAAATGATCTTTTGACATTCGTACAAGCTATGCTTAGATTTGCTTCATTGAATATTTTTGAATCAAAAAGTTAATTTTATTGTTATTAATAACAATAACTTTCTCATCACTAATTGGAAACGAGCAACTAAAACAAATATAAGACGGTAACAAAAGCAAAACAGCGTTGAGGAACTAAATGCCTCATGTCTATGTTCTTTATTGTTCTTTTGTGTTTCGATAAATCAATTCGACCCAAACGAAGTTTGTGTCATACCGATATGAAGAGAATGACGAGCCAATTTGGATGATTCTCTACGGCGCTCTTCTATGAGAAAATCTGACAATTTTCTTCGTAGAATGTTTTTGTAAAAAGCCGAATATTTGATCGGATCGATTTTGAATCTCATCCGTACAGCATCTTGAAAAAAAATTAAATGATCTTTTCAATCATAGCATTTCGCATGATACAATAAACATAAAAAACTAATGCCTTTCAAACTCATCGATTAGTATCAGTATTTAATTAAACAAATGCAATCGAATTTATTTGTTTACAGTAATGAAAAACCTCAATTAAAATATACGTTTTAATCAATGACTTGAAATGTATTGTTTTCATGTTCATTTCATCATTATAATGCACATTAAAATATTTTAGGTTTCTTAATACTAAAATACATATAAAATATTATTTATACCATTTAATAATTGAAACTTTGTTTCATCTAAACTTGATCGAGCCAAGTAAGATCTTTTTGGTGGTAAAACTTGCGTCTTCAGCTCATGTTCGCTAAAGAGTATTCTCATTGTTTTTCTTGCGAAATCTCCAACCGAAGATGCTATTGTTCCTAACAAGTTTATATTTTCGTGCATCTATCATTGAAAAACATAAGTTTTATACGAAGTAAAGTTTTTTTTTACCAGCTCTTTCTGAAGTGGTTCGTTACTCTCATCACGGTATGCATCTAGTAGCATCTTATTCTAAAAAAAGAAAAATCCCTAATAAAATTAGTAAAGTAAATCCAACCGTAATAGACGATGCTGTTAAGTAATCGATTTTCTTTGTTAGTTGTATCATTTTTTGATCATTTTTATTGTTGATAGTTTGAAGTTTTGATTCCAAAGCTGTAAATTTATTTTCAAGCACATTCAAGATTGAAACTCCTATGAAACATGAAAGGCTGATCATCAATATTGATGATAGTAATAAAAATTACCAGAAAGCGTTATTTCCGACTGAGTATCGACTTTACTGGTTTGTAGATGATTATCACCTGTTATAAAAGACTCAGTAAGAGCAGAAAATTTACGATATAATACTAACTTTTATTATCCATTCGTTTTCGTTTTTCATTTATAGAATTAAATGTAGATTTTCTTTTATTTACACTATTTTTTGTTGCTGAATTCCAACGATAATCAAACATATAACTGTCCAAGTCGTAATTTTCCTTTTCTACCTCATCTTTCTCTGCTGAAAAGTTAGCATTTATCCGGTTAAAAAACAATATCGACCAATATTTCGTTTTAAAATACGTACGAGATGATTGCACATCGAATGTAATCGATGAAGCAGTCCGAAAATGAGACTGTGTTGTTATCGACTGTTGTGTTGCATCCATCATTGCAGAATTATCTTCTTCATCACCAACTTCACCTGAATCGATTTCGTCTACAGCATCAAACAACTAATATAACAGAATGTGAAAAGAAGTTTACTGTTATTGATATCTTGTTGCGATGAGCGCGTCCTTCGACTGAGTTCCTTTTCGCAGTCGTCAAGAGAACCTAGGAACAGAAAATAAAAGAGATTAAACTAATTGATCAAAAAGAAAATTACCAGAAAGAATAATTTGTCCCTTCAATAATTTGTTACGAATTGCGAGCGTTGCTGAACCTTGATCATCAATCTTTTTTATGCTACTGCGTGCAACAATTTGATATGATTCAGTTTCATTGAAGAATAAAAGATAGTAATATGAGACCGTAGTCAATGCATTTTCTGTTGGTGTAAATACAACACGTGGCACACGCTTACGCCCACCTACATTAATATCTGAGGAAAAGTTCATGATAAACAAAACTATATCTAAAACATTCTCCAACAAAACTGTGCGTTTCTGTGAAGTTTCTATCTGATTCAGTCACTATTTATAAAGAACATATGTGTATAAATCTATTTTATACATAAATCGAGAAGTTTTCAAGAAAAAAAATCATACATAAATAAAATTTATCATAATTTGGGATCCAATTTCTTTCGAGTTGCGTAACTGCAATATCGATTTTACATGGTGTCCTCCAGAATGCTTNTTTTAGATTCTTTATTCTTTATCGTTATTATTTTTCTTTGATCATGCGTGTTAAAAAACCTTGTCGAAAGAAGCTTAATTTTGATAATGAGAAAGAAAATTCAAATGGCAATAATGGTAACTTTTACATCTGAGTGTGATATAAATGTAACTGTGGATTGATTCTAGGTGGTAAACAATTAAATTTACAATTTTCGATGGAAAATTTAACAAGTTCACAAATCAGCAATAGCTCTGATAGTAATTTGATCAATCATAATGAATATTTACCAACAAATGAAGAATTTGAAACACTATTATCGTCATACTCGGTCGTCAATGAAAACGAAAATATCGATATATTACTTGACGTAAATTCAAGCCTGACAGGTGATCCTTTTTATTTGTCTCTATTTCAATCATTTAAAAATTATATTTTGCTTCTAGATTTATCGTTATGTGGTAGTCAAGGTCAAAAACGACCTTTTGAAGATAGTCTGAATAAAGTTGTACATAATAAACGTTCTGATTCATCCAATGATTCTATTGTTGATGATATTTTGATTTTAAAACAAAAATATATTGAACTTGAATATAAAATTAGAAGAACATTGGATGTGTATGTAATTTGTTTTTATTCAAGTTTTTGTATATTTTAGAACACATACTACTATGTTTAGAAATGAATACTCTCTAAAACATTAATTGATGATCGATTGAGTTTTAGTTGTAAAATAATTTACTGGTGTTAAAAAATCATTGCTTTTTATTTCAATGTTTCTCGACATCCTTTTTCTTTATTGTAACAAGAATAAGAAAGCCTTGGCGATAAAGGTAGAACTTTTTGTTTTATAATAAAAAAATTTCATATTGCAAGAGAGCAAAAAAGATTTTGCTTTCTAAGAAGCTTGATATTATTTATTTAAATATATAAGCTGTCATTTAATCGTTTCCTTAATTTAGCATCATCAACAAATTCAGCTATGGATCCGAATTTCGTTGAAATATCAAATGTTTCACGTGATGATCAAGAAAATATGAATGTTGGTAAAGGGACATCTATGACTGATATATTACTTATACTAAAGATGGATGCAAATAAACTTACGAAATGTAATAAAAAGACAGCAACCGCTACGGCGCGATCTGTAATCAAATCTATGTATCCTAATTGTGATTCCAATTTTCGATATAGTGATGTCGATAAGTCCATTATTGATTGCATCATTGGTAAGTCAAGTGCTTTTTTTTTCTAATTGAACAATGTTTTTATTCAATAGAATATACAAAGTTTTCTAATCCGAATGATAAAGCTTCTGGTACAGAACGTCGTCGAGCCATTAGCAATTACTTTGGATATTTAACTCATCAAAGAAAACTNATCTGTCTTCTTTGCATCCCTTAACATACTTGTCTTCACCAAAAACAAAGCTTACAAGTGGGAATCCTACGAAGGGTGTAAGTTTCTCACTATTCTCATGAAATCCCTACGATTGTAGTATGCTCTCAAAAGTATTGGCTCGCAGCTACATGGACCATAAGTAATAGGGATGGATAAAAGTAAATAGGAATCTTTTTGAATGTAAAACTTTACGAAAAAATGAACTGAAACTAGATTTGATTTCTGCTTTGCTATTGAGGGATCATTTATTAGAAATCTATCGTAAGTGATAACTGACGACAATCTCTTTCCTTGTGTTTATCATGAATCTTCGTTGAGAAAGTTTGACGAAACTCTTAGCATCTTAATTATGGAAGCATCGTTTGAAGGTTTGTTCAGAATCCTATCTCGAATACTAGCAAATCTGGCATATTGAATTTTAAAACCTAAAGTCTATTCTTTTCAGGATTGTGTCAAGTTGTTACTCTGTTATTTTTCTACATTGGCATTTTAAGTTCCTACGAGGTTTCAATTCTGATCCTACACAAGGTCTTAATAACAGTAACAGAGACGGTTTCAGGAAGATTAAATTAGGGATTACATAAGATCCGAACAAAGTATTTGTATTAGGGTCATTGCAGGACGGGTAGTTGTCTTGTATCAAGAACCAAATAAGAAAATAAGTAAATCTCCCAGAATTCCAACGTGAAAAATTTTACGTAGCTTCAGTTAGGATCCTGTTCAGAAATATTGAGAAAAGAATGCCTAGAAATAGTTCGATAACTTGTCAATCCTACTTACGTTCTCAATAAGAAAAACACAGTTTTCAGCTAGAATCTTTAGAAGCTGTCGCTTACTCTCCTCAACACTGCTCGTTTGTTAAGAAACCTTTTAAAAATCTTACACAATCATAACCCGAAACCTGATAGTAAATAGAATTCAAAAGCTTCTATGGATGTCTTGATTCTCTAGCGAGATTTTTCCTAAACATAGGCTGCGTAATTTTACAGAAAATTATCCTTGATGCTGCTTCAGATCCTAACTAGAATTCTAGAACAAAACTCGTCTAGATGTTTCTAAATTGTACTTCAGAGGTGTCCTGAATCCTAATGCGACGATCCAGTCTATATTTAGAGTCATGTCAGAGCATTATCGTGAGAGGTAGAACAACATATTTCTCATAATGCTAAAGAAGTAAGTCATGTCCAGTTTTAGTCAGGATGCCATCAGGAATTTACCAGAATTGAGTATTTAGGGAACGTTACATAATAAAACTAACCATGATAAGGAGGATATGAATATTTTTTCCCATAAATGCCATAAGTGCGCTATAGAATTTGTATCATAACCACGCTTTAGAGCTGATTATTAACAAATAAAAAGGTTCCAAAAAAAATAGGAATATCTATTGTATAGTTTTCATCAATTTTTATTTGTCCTAATCTGACTTTTGGTCCATAAAAGCCGATTATTTTGGTATCTATTTCCGAGGATCATTTCAAGTTGTTAAACTACAATGTTAATTTCAGTTCGGTTTTTGTAATTTGCATGCAATACATAGTTATTATTTCGTACGTGGTAAATCTTTCAGTGAAAAATACTTACTAACTAAACTATGCATTGAAAAAATTTTAAAGTATTATTTTAAAGTGAATTTGAAAGAAAAATGAAGAGGCATGTCAATTCAACAATAGATTTAGACTGATATCGCATTTTTAACATTTGCTACGGTGATTGTTTTCATGTGAAACTCAAATAAAAGTTTACACTCGAACAATAATTTAAGATGTCAAGTGTTAAAGTCCTATAAAATAGCATTCCGAAATTCAGTCGGAAACACTGAGCAGTTCCTATATCGAAGGCTTACAAATTGTTACTATATTTATTTGTTGTCTATTCTCTTTGAAAAATTCTCACAGAAATGCTGTCAGGAAGTAGGATAATATTTAAGAGAAATTCAAATAAAACTCTACAAAATATGAGAAGAAATTTTTAATTAGAACGAGTTGAATTTCATCGACATCGTGATCTAACAACATTGAACGACTCCTCTAGACCTTCGTAGCTTATTTTTCTCAAATAATGCCTAAGTCCTTGTCATTTTGTGGGTACGCGGTTCTTTCAGGATTTAGCCTTTTTTTGCAGGAAAAAGCAGTGAATTGTGCAAAGATCTCTAAAGATTTTATCAAGGATCAAGAATAGTAAAGTAAAAGGTTTTCTCAAGAGCTATTTCCTGCTATTTGGCTGCAATATTTCATTACCTGTTAATTAATTGTAATTGATTATCATCTGTTACTTGAATTGAAGCATAAAAATCGACAACGAGCGCTTTTACTCGATATTTTAATATGAAATCGAAAACTTTCATGTTTTTCTTTCATTGCTGCTCTTTGGAAAATGTGAAGTTGTTCAAAATTGAGAATCTAGCAAATAATCGCATATTGAAACTGCTATTTAAATTGTTTCAAGTTGAGATGGCGCATTGATAACAGTCATTGTTTAAAAATCCAAAAAATCGAATTAAGTCAATTAAAATATTTTAATCAATTTTAATCTATCCTATGTATATGCTTGTCTTGTTCTATACAGTACCACTACATATATCAAATGCTGATGTACTTGATATCGCCACGTGTTGTATTCATGTCATGTGTTTTTTATAGTAATATTATATTGTCAGAGAAATTAAAAGACGTTTATTTCTTGCTTTTACAAGCGAACACACTTGTAACTAGCGACATCTATATGAAACCGCGAAAAAAAGAATATATTCAGAATATTTTTGCATGAAATATGCGAAATCTGAAAAGAAAACATAAATAGAATATTCTCGTTGTATGCTTTAATATATATATTTTCGTACTCTAATAAATATTTCGTAAAAATATTTTTTATGAACACAAAAAAAATTAGTCAACACGTATAGAAAAATTTGTCACTTACGGAAACTCTGTCCTTCATTATTAATAGTGATTAGAATTTTAGGATACTTAAGTTATTAGAAAGAATAGTGTGATGCCAATTTTAGAAGTTACCATGGACATTTTAATATCATGTACATATAAATTTCAATTACTCATGATCCTAGCGACATCTATATATTCGATGACTGTTTATCTTAAGTAATTTTTCTCAAATAAATTTAAAAAATAAAACTGTATTTTATGTTACCTATTGAGTCATTAATATTACAACGCAATCAAAATATTTGTAGAAAGTAATAGTGGTTCATAGACGAATGATAACATAGTAAATAATCACAAGAGAAAAAAATGACTCATCCGATTTAGAAACAAACACTCACAATATGTCCACTGTTATTTATTAATATTAAAACAGTCAACACTGATATTTTTTTATTTGTTATTTCATTTATTATTATCAGAATAATTTTCCGTTTGTCAATTAAGCCGTTTTATATCTGTTTTAGATTTTTAATCTTCTTTTACAACTGTTTTTCTTCACTAATGTCTACACATACACGAGATTATGAAAAGAAATCACAACAAACTGCTTCTTTAACAACTACCAATAACAATGATATGTACGCTGTGTTGCGAGATGAAAAAAATAATATTCTTCATATTGTACCACGTACCGAAATTATTTCAGCGAAGAAGTCTGGAAAGGTAGATGTTGGCGATACTGCATCACATGGCGTGCGTGATAAACGTATCCGAGGCACAATAGTGTTGCTCGGTAAGATTTCTTTCATTTTGAATTCAATGAACATCCCAGATTTTTTTTTATTAGGCAGCCAAGATCAATGTTTACAATCTGTTCAAATTATTGAACGAACAAAAAAAAGCTCAACACAGATAAATAATAACAAGTCAACGCCTGATATTGTTGATTGTTATGAAGATCAAGTCGAGATTGAAGATCAGCAGATAGAAGAAAGTAGTTTTGAAGAACCAGATACTGATGAAGATGAAGAAGCTACAGAATTAAAGAAGAAAAAAAGTGAATTTTTATCTAATGAAAAAAAAAGAAAGGAGAACAAATCTGTCACGAACAGTGTTTCTCCTTTGTCGGTCTTAAAAAATATCTCACAAAATGAATCGTCATATTTAAATACAGGTTAATAGAGTCATTTTCACAATAGAATAAGAAAAAGCTATTTTTTTCATTTCCTATGTTTTTTAGAATCATCAATTGTTGTTAAACGAAAAACATCACCAAATGAGCTGTCTTCGTCTCTTTTATCAAGCCAGAAGCGTGCAAAAGGTGTCGGATATGTACCAATGCGGGATCATGCAAAGATAGTTGCTCAATTAGCAACAGTAACCGATGAAAATTTACTATATCAAACCACGTGGATGCGTGAGTGTTATTGAAATTTTTTTGTTTCTCTCGTTTAATCTGAAATATGAGATTGTCACTCAATAATTATTTTTTTTATTTCTGGTACTGATGATTTTCATTGAATAATATTTTTCGTATAATGAGTGTGGAAAATTTATGAAATAAAATTAATGTATTTAATTATGCCATGAGAAGCTATATCAACAATAAGCATTTATATTCTATTTGCAGAAATGAATAAAATACTTTTGTTTTTATCTTGTCTTAGTACTTTTTGAAATATTTCTCGAAAGATACTAGACTAAAATCTATAATTTACTGAAAAAAAGTCATAACGCAATAATACTTGATACATTATTAAAAAAATATATCGATGATTTTCTTCATTCGACATATTGTGCCAATATTATTTATGTGAAAAACTAAAAATCTCAAAACAAAAATAATTAATACAATAGAAAAGAACTGGAAGCCAAGAAAAACAGATGATTTGTTTTATTTCATTTATACTAATTGTTCGAACGTTCTTAATGCGGATTAATTTTTCTAGAAAGAACATCTGAATAAAATGACAAGACTCATGCACTCTTTCTCCATATATATATATATTATGTGGACTCAACATATTATAAACGGTCACCAAAGATTGATGGTGTTAAGAGAAGAAGTGATGCATCTTCTATTTTCTCATACGTTCATATTGTGAAACTATCTTTTCTTTTTGTTCTTTGGACATGGGATGCATATGATATCCACATGAGATAATGAAAAACTAGTTCATGTCGTCATTCAATTCTAATTTGTTGCAGCTGACTTTGATATAGGAGACAAAAACGTTGTGCGAGTTGTATCGATTCGAAAAGAATTCTTCATTTTCCCTTTTCTCAGAGAAAAGCAAAATGATATGTCGGAATCTGAATACTGAACTTCATACAGAAGTATTTCGTCTGATTATCAGAATAATAAATTCGTGTTGTGTAACTTATAACGATTGCTTTGAATCTACGTAGCTCTACGCATAGGATTATTATATTTTTATTTATTTTTAGCTAGACCAGTTGATAAATCAACGATGCAATATTTTATTCATATTGGGAAGGTTCTAGCTAATGATTTCGGCATTTCTATGAATGATTCAAATGAAATGGTTAACAAAGAAGAAATATTGGATGTCATTTGTGCAGCACTTGAAATGTCAGAGGCTGAATTAGCTGCTCGTATTGGACAAGGTCTTCTATCGACTGCTCGTCAAGTTATTTCTGCTAAGTATCCCGATGAAATGACAACTTTTGCGGAGGTCAAGAAAGAACACATTCAAGCTGTTGCAGGTGAGTTTTGTTCTTTGATATTTTGATAATCACAATTTTTTCTAACATTAGATTATGCTTGGCTAATGCATCCCGCTGAGAAGAAGTTTAATAATCTGTCAAAGATTCGTAAAGCTATGGGAAATGTATTCGCCACTAGACGGTTTTCAAGAAAGCTCAAGAGTGGTGGTGCGATGGTGAAAGATCCAATTACAATTGATGTTTAACATGCAACTGCATTATCATTTGACTCAAGCTGGGAGAGCTGTAGCCCAGTATGACTTTTTAAGATATGTTTTGTTTTCGTTTTTGTCAGATAAAAAAAAATAAAATATCATTTTTAATATGCATCATTAGAGAAGTTTATAATCAGTTTTAAGATATGTCATTAAGAAGAAGCAGATGGGCAACGTGGCGTGCATATCGAAGACTCGATAATGCTATTCAATTAGGTTAATTGGAGTAGACTTTTCTTACTAATCTTGAATATTTGTCTTTATGAGGCGTGAAACTGTTTGAGCCAGATATTGATACCGAACAAATTGGCATCAGTATGCAAAATGTCAATATGAATGAAGATGAATCGAGCAATCTTGCTAATACCATTTTTAATGAACCAGATCTGTGAGATATACTAATCGTTCATCATTTGTATATGATAGCTCTTTATTTTTTTTTGCAGAACATCGAACATCATGGATCATAAACAAGATTTGTGTGATGTACTGTTTGTTTCTTTTTTCATTTGATAGTTTTTTTTACTTTGTTCAGAATATCAGATGTCATTGATGATGATATTGAGATTGATGCACATTTCAGTACACGTGTTGAAATTAATGCAACAGACATTGCGAGTTCACTTGTTCTACTGAAGAAGAAACATCGTCTATCGACCGATTGTATTAAAGACATCATACGTCTTTTAAAAATTCTTGATGTAGCCAATACACCTTCCAGCTGGTATAAAGTCAAAAAACTTCTTAGTGAATCCAAGTCAGTTTCTACAAAACACTTGATCTGTCCTGGTTGTAATCAAATAACAATAAGCAAAGAGCAATGTACCAATTGTTCAATTAAACATAGTATACAACTTCAGTCATTTCGTTCTTTTTCCATCACAGATCAGCTACAAAGTATACTTATCAATAATCGAAATATTGATTTATTCTATAAAAATAAAGAATTATTCATGTGTGATATTCGTGATGGTGCCATTTATGAATCTATTCGTGCTGATAATCCGGGCGAAATTTTGTCATTAACGATCAACATTGATGGTGTGCAACCTTCTAAAGGTTCTCAAACAACTATTTGGCCAATTCTTTTAGTTATTAATGAAATTCCTCCGAATTTACGATTCAAGCTGGAAAATGTTGTACTTGCCGCCGTTTGGCCTGGGCCTTCAAAGCCATCACGTGATGAGGTTAGGTTATTATTTCGTCCTGTCATCGATGAACTCATCCATCTTGAGAGTGGTCATCCATTTCATCTTTCGGATGGCAATATACATATCTTGCACGTTTATCTCATAGGTGCCTGTTGTGATAAGCCTGCGCAAGCACTTTCACAATGTATTTCAGAACCAACTGCTGCCTTTGGTTGTGGTCGTTGTGAAGTGGAGGGTAATTTTATTTCTGTAATGCATATTGAAGTCAAAATTTCTGCAAGAGATATGATGAATTTGAAACCGGGACAGTCAATTGGGTTTGAGTTATAATTTGATCACATACCTTTCTCAAAGTTAATATTTTAAATGAAATTGGAACTTGAAAGTAATTAAGCAGTATCTTATTTTTAGAATTATGTATTTAGAGTTAGTTTTCGGGTTAATGACATTTTGATACTCATTCGAGGATCAATGGGGTAAATGTAAAATTGCTTTGAAAACTTGACAAGTATATATTTGTAAGCACAAAAATATATGTTGCGATCAAAGTGACTTTTGCTTAAGTATATTTTTGCACGAAATAAAAAAATTTTATTTTTACACGGGCAAATTGAAATTTAACTGAATTTCAATTTAGTCAGAAGTTTTATATTATTTTATTAGTGTTTGCAGATACAGTGGAGTGCAAAAAAAATTGCCGTTGCACTTACGCATTTTCTCGAGTCATATCTGTGAAGCGCATGAACGGATTCTTCTGAAACTTTTATCAGTAATCAAGGATGTACTATAGATTTTCGCAGCGCTACGACTGCACTAGTCGTGGTAGTGTAATATTACTGTTTGATATTCTAGAAAAGCGGTGGACACTCGAATCATGATGTCTCTCGCTCTACCGAACGACATTTTTTGAGGAGTCGCGCTCTGATTAAAATCTATAGTACATCCTTGATTACTGATAANAATAAGACATAGTGGCTCCTGGACCCCAGGGGACGCCCTCCCAGCACCGCAAGCAGTACTAGGCCCCCTGGGAGTATGTAAATACTCCCCAGTAGGGTGTTATATCTAAAGATAAGATGCAAATTAATTGTTAAGTGTTCAATTCAACTAAAATAATAATTTGCATAAATATGTGTATCCAAATGACTATTTCGGCACGTTAAAAATATTCATATATTGATTATCTGATAGGTTTTGTCGTTGGAACTGCTAAAGGTGGAAACGTTCGAAGTTTTTCGACAAGTTATGATGATCTTGATGATATTTGTACCCGTTCTAATCAACGTTATGATCAACTCATCGATCTGATTCAAATGCATCAGCAGTTGAGAGCTCTTTTGCCATATAAAAAACGCTTGAAAGGTGCATCTATTGATCAAAAAAATGGAAAGGGAATCATGGGAGTTTGCTTATTTAGAGAATTGGCTTACTTTGATGTTGGTCGTTCTTTTATGGCTGATAGCTTGCACAATATTTATATTGGTGCATTTGTAAGCATATGTTTTTGTTTTTCTTTTTGTTAAAACCGAGAAAGAAACAGCAGAGACTTCGATTTTAAGACACACGATTTCTAGAAGTTTAAATTCTTATGAAGTCATCTGAAATCTTTTGAAATTCGAACTACTGTTCAAATCTGCTGTTTCCACTCCGGCTAACTGTTTTAAAATTTATGTTGTAGAAGCGAATGTTGCGTCTTTGGCTCAGTCCAAAATACCGAAATGAAAAATGGAGCATCGCTGGAGAGATCGACAAGCTTGCTCATCTGTTCAGTTGTATTCGATTTCCTTCTACAACGACACGAATTCCACGTTCTTTAACAGAATACCGAAAGTTTAAGGCCAACGAACTTAGAGTTCTTCTTCTGTTTGGGCACGTTATCTTTAGAAAGGTTCTGCAAAAACGATTATACAACCATCTGATACAGCTAGTGGTAATTATGCATTTAGCAGAAGGTCGTCAAATTAATAAATCCGATCAAAAACTCATTGATCGATTATCACAAGAATTTGTTGTTTCGTTTCCTCAACTATATACAGATCGTCATTGTGTCCAGGTGGTCCACTCTGTAATTCATATTGCGGATACTGTAAATGATTTTGGTCCTTTATCGAATTACACGACTTTTCAATTTGAAAACGACCTTGGGAAGAATATATGTAGTGTTCCAAATAAATGCATTTTCATTTCTTTTATAGGTATGCTTGTTCGATCAACTAAAGGTTTCAGAAATCAAGCTCAAGAAATGTCCGGAAACTTGAATATTTTTCAACATGCAATTCGTCACTCCAACAGTTCAACAATAGATACCGATCTTGCCGCTTTTTTATCATCACAACTCATTTCTTCTCATCGTTTTCTACATCACGAAGATCTGAGGGTTCATCACAAATGTAAGAAAGAAGATAGTGCTGTTCGTCAACTCTTTTCTCAATCGAATCTTCAATTCTTTAACGTTTTACACATCCGTGGTACCCGTCTTACTACTCGTACTTACTCACATGGAAAAACAAGTGATGATTCGAATATTCTTTTCCGTCTAAATGGTGTCGAAAGTTTCGGTCGCATTCAGTCAATTTTCACAGTAAACGGTGCATCACCTATTCTGTTCGTTGCAAATCTGCTGAATGTTACGCCATTGGTTTGTTGCATTGATAGCTCAATAACCTATAAATATCCTGGGATACAAATGGCCTCAAAGCCGATATCATCTTTCGTTTTGGTCGATGTCACGGATTTTATAGAAAAAACTGTTTTTTTTGAAGGTTCTTATCATGACAGTTATTTATGTCGCTTTCCTAACTTGACTCATTGTTCCTAAAAGTTTATATGCTGCATTTTCACTTCATGAAAAATCAGCAGAAACTACTCTGCAAAAAAAAGAGAAATCATTTACTCACTCACTAAAACAAGTTCAATATTCGACAAAAAACAATCAATAACTTCTTGAGTCTTCATTCATCTTCTAAAAGACGAGAGATCTTACCTGGTTTTAATATAAACGCTTCTATTGCATCTAGCAAACAAAGAATAATACTATTTCATATATGGGTAAAATCAGCGAAAACGGGACATTCACCCCTTGTATTTGAATGCAATTCTCTATCAGTATAGGTTTTTTGAGTGAATTGTTTTTGCATAGGCTTATGTAAAATTGTCTGCTCTTTCACATGGTTATTAATTAATTAATTAATTAAGAAGTAATTAATTAAGAAGTAATTAGCGTATATCTCGATAATCGAATGACGAAAAAGCTTGAAAACTTCAGGATAGGCTTTTGGATATGAGCCGCATATATGGTAAAATTTTCAGCGAGATCGGACGTCAAAAAAGTTGCTTTCAAAAAATCGACCTTTCAGAGCCTTTAGAGAGAGCTGAAACGAAAATGTTTGTTTTAGTATTATTCTAGGGACCCCAACCATTGACATGAGCCCCTTGGAATCGATTTCGAACTTTTCAGTTCGTTACCAGAGCATTTGAACGGTAGTGAAGTCGTACTCAGTCACGTCGCTAACGCTGAATAAATTTTATCTTTTGAAAAATCTAGACATGCTCAAAATAATTTTACACCAGGATTTAGTAGTCTTAGGAGTCGAGTCTAGTATCGCGTATTAAGTTT